CTTCCCATTATTCAACCTCGCCTGAATGTTCTGAACACTTGAACACTTACCTATTGCTAAATGTTAAAGGGCTGGCATATAGTTTGCTGAGAAGGCCTGGCAGTAAGATGTGTGGTTGCTTGAACCTTGAGGCAGTTGGCCTGGCTGTGCATAGTGTGTGAGTCCTCTAGAACACCTTTCTGTGCTCTGTGCCTGCATCTGCAGATGAACATCCTATACTCTTGAGTGTGCCCAATAATAAGCCCTTCTCTTTAGCCCCACTGGCCTCCTGGGGGCAAGATCCACTTCATCCTCCTATTTCACTTTTGTGCAGGTTCAGATTGACCCCTACCTAGAAGATTCTTTGTGTCATATCTGTAGTTCTCAGCCTGGTCCTTTCTTCTGTCGAGATCAGGTGAGTCCCCTGGACAGTGAGATGTCTGTGAAATCCCTGCCTTCAATTAAAAATTATAATGCCAAGTTCATGACACTGAATATTGGAGTCTTCAGTTACTTTAGATGTCTCAGATCATAGAAAGCAGTAGTAATGTTTTATAGAAAGCTTCACCCAGGGCTGGGAATGGTGACTTGTGCCTGTAATCCTAGTACTCCAGGAGGCTGAGGTGGGTGGATTGTTTGAGTACAGGAGTTGGAGACCAGCCTGAGCAAGAGTGAGACCCTGTCTCTACTAAAAATAGAAAAACTATCAGGGTGTGGTAGCAGGCGCCTGTAGTCCCAGCTACTTGGGAGGCTGAGATAAGAGGATGGCTCTAACCCAGGAGTTTAAGGTTGCTGTGAGCTTGCTACAGCACTCTACCTAGGGAGACAGAGTAAGACTCTGCCTCAAAAAAAAAAAAGAAAAGGAAAAACACTTGAACAAAAACTCTTGGGAAAGCTTTTTGAATGGAGCCTTGCCTGCGATGTTGCCATGTAGTATGTCGCTGCTGTTGACAAAGAGTATTTGTAGATGATAGAAACCTGAGTGGGTGTGGTCAGCAATACCTGTGAGCCTTCTAGACTGATCTTTTTCTACTCAGGGGCCCCTTCTTTATCTCAGAACCTCTGGACTGCTTTGATATTTGCACCTGGGCTATATCCACAGATGTAAGAAACAGGCACCTAGCAGTGAAGCAGCTTTCCTTTGATGTTTGCTAGGTGGTGGAGCATGGGTGTGCTGGGCAGTGCTTCTCAAACTTTAATGTACATAAACATCACCTGAGGATCTTATTTAAAGCAGATTCTGTTTTCAATGGGTTTGGGTGAAGCGTGAGATTCGTGTTTCTAACTAGTTGCCAGTTGGTGTCAGTGTTGCTGCTCTTCATCACACTTTGGTAAGTATTAGGGGAAGTTTAGGGCCTCTGAGGACTGGAGCAGTCCAGCCATGCATTGTGGAGGCTTTTTTTTTTTAAATGCACAGTGATGCTGTTGCTCAGGTTTGGAGTCTCTGTGTAGATGGTAGGTAAACTGAGGCTCCCACATGAGAGTCTGAAGTTTGGATTATTAGATAAGCTTGAGAACAAGTATCTCTGGTCAGCCTCTAGTAGGAGCTTTTATGGATTGACATCTCACAGTGACCTCTGCTTTCAGAATAACTGCTTAGGTTAGTGGCTTGCAAGAAGGGGGACTGAGACTGAGGCACATACCCAGTCACCTCTCCTCTGTCAGTGGAAAGAAGGCATGTTGCCTAGCAGTAGTCTGCAGTCAGTGTCTTTAAATCCTCTCTCACAGTAACAGCCCTGTGATAAAGCTAGTGTAGGAGGTAAGAAAGGCAAGGAACAAGAGAGCAGCTGTAGTGGTCGGAGGGATGGGGGAGCTGGCTGTCTCTGTGCACAGTAGGAGCCCAGCATGTTTATGGGTGCCCACACAAATGCAGGTGCTGGGTTTTGTACTGGTTGGTCAGACTTCTGTGTTTGGATGAGAGGGCTCCCAGGAACCATCTCTTCTAACCCCACAGAAGCTACTGGGCAGAGAAAGCCACTCATGCAGGTCTCTGCACCTGGCGCTGACCCAGGCATGGCAATCCTCTTTTTGTTGCCCCACCCAGGTCTGCTTCAAGTACTTCTGCCGGAGCTGCTGGCACTGGCGGCACAGCATGGAGGGCCTGCGCCACCACAGCCCCCTGATGCGGAACCAGAAGAATCGAGATTCCAGCTAGAGGAGCTGGCCTTACCTGGTGGCCTGTGGCGCCCAAAGCTGGCAGGTCAGGCAGCAGCCTGCACCACACTGCCACTGGCAACCAGGGAGCTAGCTGGCTTCCCAAGGACAAGGGAAAATTGTAGTCACCTTTGCACTTGCTGAATCTGTCTTTGTTTCTGCACTAATTAATGCACAATGAGTTTTGTCGGGTTTTGTTTTCAGGAGGTTTGCCAGGGCAAGGACCCCTGGCTCACCCTCCAAGCGACTCTGTAGTTTTCCCAGATTTTAGTTCCTCATTTTGCCGATGAAAAAGCAAAAAAAGAACTACATGTCCAGAAGGTATTGACATGGATGCCTAGGTTTATTTATTAAAAGCGCTTTTTTACATTCCTTGCAATACTGATGGTGGTGATGTGCAGGTCTCATTGGTTTCATTCTTGCAGTTGCCATACAGTGCCTTTCCATTTATTTAACCCCCACCTGAACGGCATAAACTGAGTGTTCAGCTGGTGTTTTTTACTGTAAACAAGGAGACTTTGCTCTTCATTTAAACCAAATCATATTTCATATTTTACGCTCGAGGGTTTTTACCGGTTCCTTTTTACACTCCTTAAAACAGTTTTTAAGTCGTTTGGAACAAGAGATTTTTTTCTTTCCTGGCAGCTTTTAACATTATAGCAAATTTGTGTCTGGGGGACTGCTGGTCACTGTTTCTCACAGTTGCGAATGAAAGTATTTGCAACCAAGAAAAAAACTTGTTTTATTTGAAACTGGACCGGATAAACGGTATTTTGAGCGGCTGCTGTATATAGTTTAAAATGGTTTACTGCACCTTCTTAAGTTGCACTTATGTGAGGGGGGTTGATAGAAGTTTTTAATCACAAAGTCACAGGACTTTTTTCCTTTGTAACTGAGCTAAAAAAAAAAAAAGGGCTGCTTTTGGTGGGGGCAGATGAAGGCTCACAGGAGCCCTTTCTCTGAGAGGGGGCAAGTACCCTTCCCTGTACTTTTTGTTTGAGGAATGTATGAAACAACAGTTGTAGTTGACTGAAATGCTACTGGAATCTGAAAACTTGACTTTTTCCTTTCTTTCTTTTTTTTAAAAAAACAATGAAAACCACTTGCCCCTCTTAGGGAAGCTGTGTGCCAAAGAATCAGTGTCATAACCCACCCCCCTGCTGAGCTGACGTTGCACTGTTGCATATCCCAGCTACTCTGTGGGTTTTGTGAAGCTGTGTGTGAAGTCTCTACCTCATTGTAGCATATGCAGGCAAGACTGCACTCTCCTACAGATGTGTGGAGTAAGCTGTGGTGTAGTTTTTTTTGGCACATAATAAACACGTTGCAGCAGAGTTCTGGTTTTGTTTGTGTGTCTGAGGTCTGGGAGTAAGGGGGGGTGAAGGGGTTCACAAGATTTCGACTAACAACTTCTCTCCTTGAATTTTCTACAATGGGATTCCAGGCCAGGAATAATGGTGGGGTGTTAAAGGAGACCTGTCCCTGTGAGTACTTTCTGGTCACTTCTAACACCAAATGTACTTTAGAAGATGGCACTACAGCCCACCTTCCAAAAGCCTCCACATGTGACCTTCTGGAGGCTCTGCCCAGCCTCCAGGCCCTGGAATACAGGATACTGGGCACAGCTGCTCCGGGACCAGCCCAGAGGCTTGTTCTCAGCTTCTCCTGGAAGCTTTGGCTTGTTTCTTCTTGAGAGGCTTCTCAGCCTCTTGGACTCACCTGTGCTGACCACCCAGTTTCTTTGTATGAGGAAGGCTTTTTGCTCTTCTCAGGCCTGTCACTTGGGACTTGTTCTCCTAGCCCCTAGATCTGTGACAGGGTCTGCTGCTGAGTTTTTTTTAACTGATCTTTTGGGTGCCTCCATTTGAATCTGACGAGTGAGAGACCCTGCAGACAGAAGCTTTGAGGGTCGGGGCGGGGGGGGGGGGGGGGGGGGGAAGGTCCTGCTGGCTCAGCGGGCAGCGGGCTCCCTCCCGGGGATGGGCAGCCTGACCTCTCATTCCTGTCCAGCAGCAGCCTCAGCGGCAGCTCACAAATAACTCACCCACCTCTCTCCAGAGACAGTCTGCTCGCCTCGGTCTCCCTCTTCCTCCCCTAGTCTAGAGCTAAGGCTTCCCTTCGTCTGCCGTCTGCTCACGTGCCTTCTTATGAGGCCTCCGGTCCTATGGAGGGTCTGGGGTGGCCGGGCCCAAGTCTCAACTCACCTAACCTGTCCGTAAGTCGGGGGGTGGGGGTGGGGGGAGGGGCGACGGGGAGGTGTGGCTAGGCTGGGAGGCAGCGGGGCGGCGACGAGCAAGTGAACCGGCCCTTCTTCACTCAAGTGTTTGAAGCCTGTTGTGTGCCAGTGGCCTGAGCACCGGAAATTAGCTAAACAAAACAGTCTCCATTGCCGAGGAGCTCAGCCCTAGAAAGCCACAGCACGCCGCTTGACATTCGCTGGTCACCGTTAGGAGCATTAAAGGGACAGCAGCTGAGCTTCTCTGTTACGGCGACGTTTGGGCAAAGACAGGAGAAACGAAATAAACCTCTCTGACACCCACCGTGTCTCCGCCAGATAAGGGCGGCAAGTCTCTGACCCACGGACTGCGTGGGTGCCATCCCTGACTCCTGGCTTTGCCACGGCCCCAGGTCGCCTCCCATTCTAAGTTTTACTTAGGACCTGGAGCCTCGCCTTCTCTCCCTAGCGTGCGTGGAAAAGATGCACCCCTCTTAGGCCCAAGCGATCAAACCCGCGGCCCGGTCATAGGCTGGAGGCGCAGGCAGCCCGCGTGGGGCTCCAGCCACAGGGGCAGGCTGACATTCACCTGCCTCCACTTCCGCTCCACGCCGCCAGGGGCCGCCGTGAGGCGCTCCGTTAGCCCGCGTCCCTATCTGAGCGGAAGCGGCTCTCTGGCCTGCGCTTTAAAGGTCTCTTTTGTACTTCCTGTTTCCTCTTTTGCCGAGGACCCGCCAACATGGTAGGTGTTATGGCCCAGGACTTGTATCCTCTTCAATCATACTCCATCCGCTGCTTTCTGTGGCCACTCCATTCCTCGAGGGGAGACCCAAGGCCGGGCGGGTGCGAAGCGAGTCCCTGGCTTCCTCATTGACCCGGCGCCCGCCGCTGCCCGGCCGGTCTCTCCCGGGCTTGGCCCAGCTTGTGAGCCCGTCGCCGCGGGTCTCCGGCGCTTCACCCTTCCCAGGAGGTCCCGCCCGCTCCCGGGTGACCCTTTCTTCTCCACCCGCAGGGCCGCGTTCGCACCAAAACCGTGAAGAAGGCGGCCCGGGTCATCATAGAGAAGTACTACACACGTCTGGGCAACGACTTTCACACGAACAAGCGCGTGTGCGAGGAGATCGCCATCATTCCCAGCAAGAAGCTCCGCAACAAGATAGCCGGGTGAGTTGGGTCCCCGCCAACCCCCGTGATCCCGCATTTTTTGCCCTACGGCTCGCTGTGCCCCGGAGACGAGCTAAGGGCTCGCGTGTGCAGGTTCCCGGAGGCGGCTGCCGCCAGACCTCTTGCTTTGAAGCCCTGTTGCTTTTGGATGTCAGTTTTAAATAGGTGTTCGTTCTCGTTGCACTTAAACTGTTCAAAATGTTAGTTGGAATGTGGACATTTAGACGTGATGTGCACCAAAGCTAGCGGATTAAAGTGCTAAGCTTTGTGAATTTGCACTTGAAGGAAAAGGATAGAAAGCCGTGTAGCCAGATGTGCTGGAGAGCCGAGGCGAGTGGATCGCTAGAGCTCACGAGTCCGAGACCAGCCTGAGCGAGAACCCCATCTCTACTAAAAATAGAAAAAAAAAAAATGATGGTCATTTGAGCCCAAGAGTTGGAGGTTGCTGTGATCTGTGACGCCCAGCACTTTACCCAGGGTGACAGCTTGAGCTCTGTCTCAAAAAAGAAAAAAAGAAAGCTAAGAAGGGTGGGTCTGGGGTTTGGTGACCTCGAATGGGAGTTTGACAGTGAGAGGCCAGGAGGGCAGGAAGGCCCAGGTCAGTGGAGCTTTGTGTTCTGGACTGGGGTCCTCTCCGTCCCACTGACGTGGGGTTAGTAACCTAGTGTTCTGGGACCCATAGGAGTGGATGTGTGGTCTCACTGTTGTCTTTGGGTGTGTCATTGTGTAGCTATGTCACACACCTGATGAAAAGGATCCAGAGGGGCCCAGTGAGAGGCATCTCCATCAAGCTGCAGGAAGAAGAAAGAGAGAGGAGAGACAACTATGTCCCTGAGGTAAACTTTCTTAGAGCAGAAAGCAGCAGATTCCTGAGGCCGCGCTGAGTTCTTGCCTTCCAAAGGAACCCCAACTGAATCTGAGGTCTTTTATCCACACACCCTTTCACCAGTGCAGGTCCCCATAACCTGCCTATGTGTTTATTAACCTCAATTCTGCTCTCCTGGGACCTTTTAAATAAATCTGTTCCATTTTTCACATGAGAAACCTTTGTGAATTTTTGGTGACTGTCATCATGTCTCCTGGTTTGGTAATTTGCCCTAACATAGTATTCGTGAAACCTAGTTTTAAGGTTTTTCTGAACACTTAATAGGTAAATAATGGGAGTATGGGAAGGTAAAACCAGAGGAAAAGTCTTTGGAGCCTCTTTCTGTAGGTGACACTTTGCTTTGTGAGATCCACCCCCTATATAATTTTTTCTTTCTGCTTATTTAAGAATCTGGAAAAAAGAAGCAGAAGTGAGAACTAATTAATTGATAACTTGGGTCTATCTCTTTTCCTTTTAGGTCTCAGCCCTGGATCAGGAGATCATTGAAGTAGATCCTGACACTAAGGAAATGCTGAAGCTTTTGGTAAGTGTGGTGGATTGGTGGATTTCTAAATCCTAAACGTAAGATGTCCTTGGGTCACGCACCGTCAGTAGTTTTCTATTATCTGCGATAATAGTAACTAACCCCTTTCAAGGTTACATAATTTATAAATAACAGGATTGGGAATCCTATCTGCATATGTAACCACTAAACTACACTGCTTTCAAAATGGGTATAGCTGGTTATTGAAAGCTGCATGCATGGAGTTTGTGGTACAAGATTGTAATTCCTAAATCTGGTGGTCTCTTCTTCCATAGCTTTCTCTCCTAGTTCTGTGGTTGGCTCACATTGCCTTTCTTTTATCCTTGGCTCCGTTTGTGCAACCTGCGTTCCCTTGGAGAATTCTTTCCTTTTCTGTCTATACGGTGACCCTTCAAAAAAGAGCTGTGGTCTCATTTCCACATAATGTGCCAGGCACTGTTAAGATAGTTCACAGGTATCAATCCACTTCGACATGCTTCTTTTCTGTGGCTTATTTTAATCCTTTTCCCTTGTTTGGTGAAGTAGCATGGGCTTCAAAGTCCAGCAAACTGTTGGTGATTTTGAGCAACTTCATTTTTCCTTTCCTTTGCTCATTAAATATTTAGGATTTTCAAAAAGACGGTAAAGAACAAAATGAACTCCCATGTACCTTCCACTTAGCTTCAGAAGAACATCATTAGTGCAGTTAAAGCCTGCTTTGAGTTTTTTCTCCTGAAATAACCACTGATGTGAATTTATCTTTTTAATTTGAGGTATAAAATGAGTTTCTAAGGATCAAATAGGACATTAAGTTCCATGTACACAGTGAACCCTTGGGCTTTAAATCCCACTTTCTAGGCCGGGCACAGTGGCTTATGCCTATAATCCCAGCACTCTGGGAGGCCGAGGCTGGTGGATTGCCCAAGCTCACAAGAGTAGGACCTTGTGTCTAAAAATAGCCATACAGTGTGGTGGGCGCCTGTAGTCCCAGCTACTTAGGAGGCTGAGGCAAGAGGATTGCTTGGGCCCAAGAGTTTGAGGTTGCTGTGAGCTATGACATGACAGTACTCTACTGAGGGCAACAAGGTGAGACTGCCCCCCCTCCCCCCAAAAAAAATCCCACTGGCAAGCCTGAGCTTGCTTGGGTCAGCCTTGCTCTTGACCTCTACTCTCCTTGGCGCCTTGTCTATTTGGGCCCTTTACAAATGTCAGTTGGTTAGTGATAACTCTTACCTGGAAAGGAAGTGGCACTTGTATATTGTCAAATGGACAGATTTTTGCCATAGAGTACATTTGACAATATCTAGACATTTTTGGTCATTATAGCTAGGGGCAAATCTTGCTGATAACTGATAGGGAGAGGCCAGGCATTCTGCTAAACTTTATACACTGCCCAAGACAACCACCCACTATAACAATATCCAGCCTAGAATGTTGATAGTGGCAAGATTGAGAGACCCTTTTTTAGAGTGATATGAAGAGGTTGTGAAAATAAGGAGTAAAACATCATGGTGTGATGGGTAAAAGTCACAGGGGACTGTGTTGGGCACCATGTGGTTGGGTGTGTTGAAAGATTGCCCCAGAGAAAATGGGAGGTGTTGATGCATGTAGGGGCCCTGGTAGCTGGCCACTGGAAGCGAGGAGTCCCTCAGATCTTGAGTAGATGCTTTGAGAATGTTAACAGCTCCAGGGCCAGGAAGAACCCCCTCTATTTCTTCTGGTTCCTGCTAGCCTTCCCCCAGCTGGTAGAGGCCAACACCCACAGCTTGGTTGTGGCACTAGGGCTGTGTAGGAAGACCTCACTGAAGATCCCTCACACTGAATCCTGCTTTGTTGTTCCAGGACTTTGGCAGTCTGTCCAACCTCCAGGTCACTCAGCCTACAGTTGGGATGAATTTCAAAACACCACGTGGAACTGTTTGAATCTATCTTCTGTGTGCTGTAATATTTTAATAAATCTGGGACAACAGCTTTGTCTGTGTTATCTGTGCTTGGGTATGGGTGGAGCTAAGTGCAGGAATTTACCCAGGGTGACAGCTTGAGACTCTGTCTCAAAAAAAAAAAAAAGAAAAGATGGGTTAGGTGGAGGATTGGTACTCCTAGGGCTGCAGGAAGCAGCTTTTCCAAGTGCTCCAGTTGGGTGCTTCAGTTGGTTTGGGTAATCTCTTAGGCCTCAGTTCTTTATTCTCTGAAACAGGACTAATCCTGGTGCTCCCTCCAGCTACCTGTGAGCCTCCTTAAAGGCAGAAGGCCAGGCCCCACCCCTGCCCCAAGCATTGATGGGGTAGCCAGACCTTGTTGGCTTGAAGCCCCTGGACCGCAGCACTGGTTTGCCCTCCACTGCTGCTCCTGGATTTCTCGGGCCAGAGTAAATGCTCTTGGCATAAAATGGGCTGGATAGTCTTGTGCTTTTTGTGTCAGGGATACTGAAGATTGGAAAGTTCTCCCAGAAATTTTTGGAGGTAATTTTTTTCTGTATATCATTGTTACTTTCAACAAACAAAAGTGAAGTAACTCCATTGAAATAGACATAAAATGAACACATGTTCATTTATGATGAACGTATGATTTTTTTCAATCAACGATGAAACATTCAAAGTAGGACAAATTTATAATGGCATAAAGGAATGTTGAGAGTAATTTATAAATGGATGCAAAACTGGTTTATTTCATAGTAAAGTCGACTGAAACCTTTGTACTAACAATTTTATTTACATTTATTTCTCTAGAATTTTATGCCATGCTGTCAGATATCTGCAAATCATAGAGTTTAGCCTGAAGGCAGTGAAAGGGTCAGAGCCCTTACAGAATTCATTTCAACTCAGGGTATTGCTCTTAATAACATGCGTGTAGTATTCACTGAGGCACAGATAACCCCCCAATATCTGTAAATTCGTAATTATCTGTACTGCCACATCAAGATTTTCAATTTTTTAGTATGTAGCCGTTTTCTCTTGTGACTAACAAAACTAAATCATATCTGTGTTGTGTTTCATTTTTAACATTGTTTTCTTTCTGAATTAAACTTTTATTTAAAATAGGTGTTTTTTTTGCAGTTTTTGGCTGGGACGGGTTTAAACCTGCCACCTCCGGTGTATGGGGCCAGTGCCCTACTCCTTTGAGCCACAGGCGCCGCCCTTTTAAAGAGTCGTCAGTTGGAGTTTTTTTCCCCTTTCTCTTTCCTTCCATACCTTCCTACTTCCCTTCCTCTGTACTTGAGGTTGCTCTTTCCTCATTAGAACATGTGAGGAACATGAATAATCATTTTCTCCTTGTCTTTAATCACAGGGTCTGGCAAACTATGGCCAGCTGCCTAGTTGTATATAAGCCATGTATGTAAAAATGGTTTTTACATATCTGCATGTTTAAAAGAAGGATGTATTCTATTAAAATCCTACCTTACCCCTGGGGAAAAAAATGGAGAATGTGACCTGTGAAAATCACAGGAAATTCAAATTTCAATGAGCTTAAAGATTTGTTGAAACACAGTCATAGGCTCAGCACCTGTGGCTCAAGTGGCTAAGGTGCCAACCATATACACCTGAGTTGGCAGGTTCTAATTCAGCCCTGGCCCGCCAAACAATGAGGACTGCAACCAAAAAATAGCCAGGCGTTGTGGCCAGGCACCTGTAGTCCCAGCTACTTGGAAGGTAGAGGCAGGAGAATTGCTTGAGCCCAGGAGTTGGAGGTTGCTGTGAGCTGTGATGCCACTCTGCCCAGTGTGACAGCTTAAAGCTCTGACTCAAAAAAAAAAAAAAAAAAAAAAAGAAACACAAGTCATACTGTATGTGGCTGTTTTCATGCTACAGTTGCTGATTTAAGTGGTCATGACAGGCAGCTTGTGGCATTCTCATTGCTTTGTGCTACAGATTGCAGTGACACTGTTAATATATTACTTTTGAATGCCATCTGATCATATCATGACTGGTGGCTCTATGAGCAGGGCGCTGGCCCCATGTACCGAGGGTAGTGGGTTTGAACCTGGTCCCAGCCAAACTGCAACAACAAAAAAATAGCCGGGCATTGTGGCGGGTGCCTACAAGTCCCAGCTACTCGGCAGGCTGAGGCAAGAGAATCGCCTAAGCCCAGGAGTTGGAGGTTGCTGTGAGCTGTGACACCACAGCACTCTATCGAGGGCAATAAAGTGAGAGTGTCTCTTAAAAAAAAAAGTTATTGATGCATACTTACGTGAATAAGAGAAAAAACTGCATTGCTAATGTTGCACTTTTAAGTGTGAGTAACCCATATGTTAGCTGAGCAAGAAAAGCCATTTACCAATAATCTGAAGTAGGTATCTGCCAAGCTATTGTGTTATAGGTGATGGTACTAAGGATTGTGGACAACCAGGCTGAGGTGGGAGAATTGCTTGAGCTCAGGAGTTTGAGACCATGCTGAGTAAGAATGCGACCCTGTCTGTATTAAAAATAGAAAAACTAGCTGGGCGTTGTGGTGGGCACTTGTAGTCTTAGTTCCTTGGGAGGCTGAAGCAGGGGGATTGTGTGAGCCCCTGAGTTGGATGTTGGAGTGAGCACTGCACTCTAGCCAGGACAGCAGAATGAGACCCTGTCTCAAAAGATAATGTGTGGAGGAGAAAAAGAAAAAGACTTATTTACAGAAATTTCAAAGCTTGCAAAGATGTAAAGTGTTTAAAACCTGTGGTTATTCATTCTGTTACTCATTGGTGGATATTTTGTGGAATATATCTAAATCTATCGTGTATTATTGAGCATTGAACTTCATTCCGTTGTGGACTTACTGTTATCAATTCCATGAAATTTGGTAAAATGTTTTGTTTTGGAGACAGGGTCTCACAAGCTAGAATGCAGTCCTGGGCTCAAGCAATCCTTCCCTTTTGGCCCCCACAAACTGCTGGGACTATAACTCTAAGCCACTGTAACTGGTCTAAAGTGTTTTCTTAAAATTGTGAAAAAACTTTGGGAGACATAAAAAGAAAAAAATAACTTTGGGAGGCTGAAGCGGGAGAATTGTTTAAGGTCAGGATTTTTAGACCAGCTTAAGCAAGAGCAAAACCCCATCACTACAAAAAATATAGAAAAAGTACCCCAGCATTGTGATATGTGCCTTAAGCCTATAAGGCTGAGGCAGGAGGTCACTTGAGCTCAGGGGTTAGAGGTTGCAGTGAGCTATGATGTGCCACCGCCTTTTTGCCTGGGCGACAAAGCAAGACCCTGTCTCTAAAAATTTCATACACATACGCAAATATTCAAGTCATGTTTGACTTTTGCACGAGAGGTGCTCAAATGAGATTTGTTTATCTTTTGTTATTGGTATATCTTGAGTATTAAAATTTTAATACAATTTTTTCCTTTCTTAAAATGTATGTACATTTTTGGGCACACTGTGTGGTTATGCATGTGTATACATATATTCAGGCCCTAATGCATGAATAAAAGATTAAGAAGAAAACAAAAAGTAAAGGCCAGGCATGGTGGCTCATGCAAGTAATCCCAGTACTCTGGGAGGCCGAGGTGGGTGAATTGCCTGATCTCACAAGTTTGAGACCTGCCTGAGCAAGAGTGAGACCTCATTTCTTAAAATAGCCAGGGCATTGTGGTGGGCGCCTATAAGTCCCAGCTACTTGGGAGGCTGAGGCAAGAGGATCACTTGAGCCCAGGAGTTTGAGGTTGCTGTGAGTTATGATGATTCCACAGCACTCTACCAAGGACAACAAAGTGAAACTGTCTCAAGAAAAAAAAGTAAAAAAGTTAATAGACAAGACACAAAAATTGTGATCAAAATATAACAATGGGTACACTGTAATCATTTGTAAGTGTACTATTCAGTGGTGTTAAATATGTTCATGATGTTGTATAGGTATTATTACCATACTCAAAAAATTTTTATCCCCAATAAAAACTCTGCACTTATTAAATAATAACTCTCCCTTTCCCTTTTCCTTCACAACCTCGGGTAACCTCTATTCTGTTTTCTATTATCTCTGAATTTGCTTCTTCTGGGTACCTCACATAAGTAGATTTACAGTATTTGTCCTTCTGTGCCTAACTTCTTTCATTAAGCATAATGTTTTCAAGGTCCATCATATTGTAGCATATATCAAAGTTACATTCCTTTTGTGGCTGAGTAATATTCCATTGGATATATATACCACATTCTGTTTATCTGTTCATCTGTTGATCAATATTTGGGTTGCTTCCTCTTTTGGGCTATTATAAATGAAGGGGTTATGAGCATGAGTGTATAAATAAATATCTGTTTGGATCATGTTTTTAATTTTGGGGGTATATTCACAGAAGTAGAATTGCTGAGTCATGTGGTAATTACATGCTTAATTTTTCTTTCTTTTTTTTTTTTTTTTTTGAGACAGAGCCTCAAGCTGTCCCCCTGGGTAGAGTGCTGTGGCATCCCAGCTCACAGCAACCTCCAACTCCTGGGCTCAAGTGAGTCTCCTGCCTTAGCCTCCCAAGTAGCTGGGACCACAGGCGCCCACCACAATGCCCAGCTATTTTTTTGGTTGCAGCCGTCGTTGTTTGGCAGGTCCAGGCTGGATTTGAACCCGCCACCTTAGGTGTATGTGGCTGGTGCCTTAGCCGCTTGAGCCACAGGCACCGAGCCTATGCTTAATTTTTCAATGAAATACCATACTGTCTTCTACAGTACCTGCACCATTTTATATTCTCACCCGCAACCCACAAGAATTCCAGTTTCTCTACATCCTTGCTAACACTTGTAATTTTCTGTTTTCTTTTAATCTGTGTAGTACTCATCTGGTGTGAGGTGGTGTCTCATTGTGGTTTTGATTTGCATTCCTCTAAAAGTGATGTTGAACATCTTTTCAAGTAGTTGTTAGCCATTTATATTTCTTTTCTGGAGAAATGTCTAATCAAGTTCTTTGCCCATTTTTGAACCAAGTTTGGTTTTTTTGTTGAGTTAAGCCGTGTTTTTGTTGAGTCATAGTGGATCCTTGTATGTTTTGGTTTTTAATCCCTTGC